ACTTTTATATTATTTTTAATACCTGGTGTACTGAGAAAATCGTCGTGGGATTTAGTAGGGTACAGATTCATTCAGAATGATCAATTATTTCATTTGTTGTGGGTGTGTGTCAGAATATTGTCAAACATACATTTTCAAATAAACATTTCCGAGTTGATCCAAATGAAAAACTACTGGGCTGGAAATATTTTTTACACAACTGGTAGCTTTTGTGTAATTATTCACTGGTTATATTAATCAAGTCTTCTCGACTACAGGCTCTTAACAACATGGGAAACCTAAAAAAATACAAAATACATTGTCATAGGTAGATAAATATAATTTGATTTAAAAATGATAATAAAATAATTGTTTTGATTAAATAGCCAAATAAATAACATACAGTTAACATTGCTGCATTTGAAAAGTACCTCGTTTTACTCATTTTACTCGAAGCCGTTCTCGATGGGATCTGCTCCATGGTCATTTAAATTGCATAATTTATTTTGCATACCTTTCTGAAACTTTGGGAAATGAAAAATACCTAGTATACGAATCCGTTCGAGGTAGACATGGGCGATAAACACATCTCTTTCTTTTAGATTCCATCAGTTCACTAAAAAATTATTTTGCTTTAATAAAATAAATAAAAATATGTAAATAGCTCAGAACATACCACAAAAAGTCTTCCATTAAAAACATGTTTACTGAACAATGTTCATTCATAAAATAGACAAAGGAAAGCACTAAACACAGATTTACTCAATAATTGTTAAAAAATATACAGAGGAAAACACTAAAATACACTTAAATTCGATAAAAAAAAATCATAAATTATAAATTATAAATGACTGATCCTGACACATCAAAACAAAACTCGTGACATGACAGTTTTGCCGGTTATAAAATGGCGGCCCTGATCATGCGCAAAAAATTTTGGACCCCAAAAATTGACGTGCCTTCGCTTCTGTAAAAGTATTCTGTGCAGAAATGTTCATTATAACAGAAAACATCTCACAGCTGTGTCTTTGGCTCTGTAATTTCAACAGAGATGGCGCTTATGCAGATTATTGTTGCGCCATTTTCATGTTTATAACAAAAAAATTTTTTATCAATTATCAATAGTTTTTATAGTAAATAAAAAAAATTTATAAGTATCTATATAAGTAAAAATTAAAAAATTATAATAAAATGTTTTTTTTATATAGTTAATTAATTGATAAATATTAAAAATAGTATAAGTTGCGCCATCTAGAAAGGAATTGAAGAACTCAAGGAAAGGTATGCAGAAAACATCTTTACCTAAAAAGTATTAATTTTGTATTGGTGTATTGTGTGTTGCCTAATGATGGTTGATCTTAGATAAATTTCTTCCTACGCTCGAAAATATTATTTTTCTCCCAGAAAAACTAAATATACCGAATTCAAAGATAATATTCCTAGTGTCAAAATTAGATTGCAGTACAGCAGTCACTGCTTGTAGAGAGAGAGAGAGCAATCTATTCGAAATTATATTTTAGAGTTCTACTTTTATCAAATTAATGACATTTATAAATATTGTTTGCGGATACTTTACGGGTATTATCTAGGTATATAGCAAAGTATGCCTAATTTATTTAAACATAGGTTAGGTTAAGTAGAAAATAATTGGGATGATCAATGATGTCATCGCATTTTACCTCTTAAAACTTTTACCTTATAACTGACTTGAGTTCCCTGAATTATTGGGCTGTACTGGTGTTTCTGTTTTAATCCACATATAATCCAGCTACTTAATGAAGCACTTTCATAATTTTTTAATTACCATTTTAAACTGATACACAATTTTTTCAACACAAGAAAACTAACAGACACTTAAATTTACGTCCAATTTTACGTAATCGCAATTATTTATTTCAAGTTTTAATCCTCAATGCTGCAAACTATAAGAAAACTTTTAAAACAACTGTTTTTTCGACCAAAATTCTCGAACTAATTCGAATATTTTAACGTCAAAAGAAATTACCTCATGAAATGCTTTAAGGGTTGCCAGCATTAGGTTTTCGGCCAATGGAAGGTCGAAAATAAAACGGGTTAATTCAAACGGTCATATTTCGACCAATTAGATGATGAGATCAGCAAATTGAAATGACAGTTAAGCTTGCGCTTGAATTTTAGTTGTGGAAAATCTTGAGATAAAAAAGAAACAGGGTCGGCTCTTCGTCAAATGTATAGGGAGGTTATACGGAGTTATAGGTATTATGGGTTTCTTGAAGTGAGAAATAACTTTTTCAAGTAAAAATGCTTGGGACAGTAACTTCTGAGTCAGCCGTGACTGGGTATATGCTTCGAGCATATATATTTTATAGAGTCCGCATTCAATAGAGTTTGTTTACGTTATAAGGGGAAATGCCTAGACACTATTACCAGTGTCGCATCATTTTTACGGGGTTTGCAATTAATATAAATAATAAATTTGATACATACCTTCAAAATTCTTTAAATTATGCACATATTTTATAAACTTGCATTATTTAAGTAGGTACCTATCTAGTAATAGTAAATTATTATTTGTGTTTTTTTTTAATTCAAACATCAGAAAGTGTATAACGGAAAAATGAAGGTTGAAATAATAGGCAATAAAAAAGATAAAAAGGTTATATTTAAAAATCAAAAATATAAATAAATAGTAGGTATATTATACAAATATTTATGATATCTCTTAACACACGTGTACGAGAATTACAATACAAGAACTTTTTCCAATAATTTATTAAATATAAAAATATTGTTCGTAACCAATGTTCAATAGATTACTAAACGATATACTACAAATAGAAATCAAGCTAATACTTAGGTACTTAGGTGCATTTACACTGCTAGTCGTTAACAAATAAGTGAAGCTTTCTTCATTTTTATTGGAAAACTGTATTAAGCTTCGATTATTTCTTAATGACTGGGAGTGCAAATAAAAGAAGCATAAAATGACTTTTTTATTGGAAAACTCACATTAGGTTTTGCTTATTTCTTAAAGACTATTAGTCTACTTAATTAAAGAACATAGGTACATTTAATAAAAAATAATTATTGTCAATTTTTATGGTTTATAAAAAATATAGGTAGTAATAAGTAATTATTTTAAAATAAAATTTATGTTGTATTAAAAAGTACTTAGTTACTTACATGTTTTCTAATTCTTCATTTTCTTGTTCTGCAACAGAGGCTTCATGGTTCAGATCACCACTGAAAAATTAAAAATTTTGAACAATTAACCCACAAGAAAAGTGCAGGGTTCTTTACCTTTTAGATTAATTTTCTTCTGGGGCCTCAGAAAATGCTGATGGCAATGCACCTGGAATTAATCTAGTTCTTCCTCCGCATCCAGTCTTTGACATATATCCAGAAAAATGATTGGAACATAAAACATCACTATTTGAAATGTTTTCTGAAGTAAGTTTTAATATGTTTCACCAAATGCGTTTTTTCGGCAGGATTAGCTGAAAACCTACAAAAAACAAAAATTAACGATTTAACATCTTCAACATTATCATGATAAAATGACTTAAAAACAAAAAGCTTGTTTATATTGAAAAATTATAATTATAAAATAAAAACAATATTCCTCATACATTAATAAAAGTTCTTTAAATTTAATTCACTAAATTTACCATTTATTTTAAATTCATGTTTAACGGCCGTTTGCATAAAATGTAAGTACTATCTTTCTTTAAAAAAAATGGTAGAGACGCTAATGGTTACTTACTTGTGAAAGGCATCGACGATTCCTTTCCTTATTTCTATTTACAACTTACACAAACTCCCACCATTGTTAAAATTTGTATCAGTAAAGTAATGAAATACAAAAAATCACTTAAACTACAAAAGTAAGCTAGAAATTAATGAAAATCAAAAATAAAATGACAGTTCTGACAATTTCGAACGATTTGACATGCCAAGCAAACGGAACAGACCAATGGGAATGCTGGACACTATTTTTCCCCCCTGTACCAAAACAAAGTCCATTTGGACGATGGCTCTAGTAATATATGCTCGAAGGGTGTATGGGAAAAAAGCAGCTTGTTTTGCTAAATTAACTAATTTTTTAGACCGAAATAGTAATTTACGTTACAAGACCGGAAAGTATTGTTTTGCAGGTCGAGACAAGTAGATTCCAGGGCGAGCCATAGGCAAGACCTACTAATTTTCGGTCGCGTGACGTACAATATTTTTTTTAAGACAGACACTTCGATGTAAACTCAATTACTTATTTTATTTAATAAAGTGATTAACAAATACTGAAATTAGATAATGGTTACAACTGGATAAACTAATCAAATACATTATACTTGAATATTTATGTTAAATGTACATTTTTGTTGCTTTAAACTTTCTACTGGAATTTCATTTTCTATGTCAAGTAATTTAAAATCTGAATCCATATTTCCTAATTTGCGAGAACAAGTTTGACATAAACAACAAATTAAAAATCAACGAACTGTCACTTGGCATTTAGGCATTCCAAACAAATGAATTGCCAGTGGGAAGGTTTGGTATATCTAAGGGTGGCGACATACGGTGTATTCCATCTACTTTACGTAAAATCATGAATAATGGATTACATTTAAATATTTTATGTCAAACACAATAAAAATAATATTTAAAAAAACCATGCGCATGCGCAATACTTTTCCACTTTTGAAAAGTGTGTTTGGACTAGTCAACTTTTCAAAGTGACCCATCACTAATAAAGATTAGGTTGGGTTATTATTAAGAATCAACATTATTTTTTTTAGTTTCTAGAATTGTGTTAATTAAATAGGAAATATTCAAATCGTAGGAGTCCGTAAAACCAATTTTCACGTATATTTAATAATATATTGTTATGATAGAGAATTTAATAATTATATTCAATTTTGCATACCATCATTTTTACTGTAAAATAAACAGAAACTATTCCTGTACCAAATTTAAAGGAAAATCATACAATATATATAAATAATAAAATACTAGAAAGTTAGTATTAAACTTTATTAAACTCAATATTAATAACAGGTATGTAACAAACAATCCTCAATGAATGTTACAAAATACATAATCATATCACTATCACAAAAATTAAAACATGTTCTGATAAAATAAAAAATAAACCTATCACACTTCAAAAATTGCCTCAAAAATACAAAAAAAATATAACCTAATTCTGTGTACAAAAAATGCCATTTAAACATCCAAATATTAATTATTAACTTTCAGCAAGTGTAACAGAAATTGAAGAGTACAAATAGTAGTAGTTTGAAGTTCACTGATGCTGAGTCACAATTGGTGAGAACTAAATTGCCTTGAACAAAAAATCTTCCACTAGAAAAATTCTTCAGCACACTGAAACAGAAAATTAAAACATCCATCTATTTATTCATTCATCAAATTATTTAGTAATATACATATGCAGTGTGTAAGATGGAAACACCACTTCGTTAAAAAATTGTGAAGTGCTGCAGTTAGATTTTTATAAAAAAAATTGCTAATAGTTTTTTTCGATAGTGAAAAATAAGCAAAGCATGCCTTGAAAATGCTGCTATAATTATTGAAGATTTTTTATTGAACAGATTTTTTGACAGTTTATGATCATAAAAAAAATAATAATGGTTCCAATAGTCTGTCAACAGCAGCTTCTGCAGGGTGAGCTTCCATTTTAAATGGAGCACACTATATATAATAGTTTATTTTACATTTGTAAAAATCAATTCAAAAGAGAATTCTAGGAGGTAAAGTGAAATCCTCAAAGGCACCACAGTAAATTGTTTGAAAAATCGGATTTTTTTTTAAACAATTTAACAATTTAAATTGTACAAGACAGTGTATCAAATCTTGTACAAGAAATTGTTTAGTCTGAAGCAGTCTTTATAAAAACAGGTACTTTTTCATAGAACACAATTTTATATATTTTGACATATCCCATATGACTGATTTTGATGTCTCATAATTATTACAATATAAATTTTCGACCATGCAGAACATTTTATAAAAAACAAATTTTTTTTCATAAAACTAATAATAAAAAAGTTTTTCATGTGGTTCCTTAGGAAAGTTTGGAGAAAGTGCACAATGGGTGTGTACGAATTTAACGAATCTAATGCTATTAACTGCAAAGCAAAAAAAATTAAATATATAATAAAGTTATATACAGTTATATACAATTTAAAATTCTTGTAGGAAAATTTAAAAAGAAAAATATTAAAAAAAAATATATTTTTTGATCAGATTTTGTGCTATCTTCTAGAAAAAAATATTTTAGAATTTCACTAAATACGCCCATTGAAGACTTTTTCAAAAACAACCATGTCCTAAAATGCCTGAAATGAGTTAATTGTGACAATTAGTGACCAATTGAAGACCTTGGCGTAATAAGGATACATGCAACATTGTAAGTTTTGAGAAAATTGAGTTTTAAATTTGTTTTAAATCTGTCAAATACAAATTAAAAATATATCATTATTTCCTACAAAAGTAACACAGAAACAAAGATATTCACTGTCAAATATAGAGAGAGCGTTTCTGCAAAGTCTAATAGGAGTGGTATATTGTTTTTGTGCTCTGAAAAAGCTCATTTTGGACATGTCTCGTTTTTGTAAAAAGGTTTTTTTTTTGTAGATGGATATTATTATTGCATATTGAATCGTAATTCTTAACACAATGGAGTTTTGTACTTTCTTCAAACTTTCCTATACAGTTGCTTTAAAAATGTATAAAACTATACATTGATATTTGATCCAGAATGCACTAATGTAATTAAGATAGAAAACAACGATGTAAAAGTCACTTCTTCCACATATAAAACTGTTTTAAATTAAAAAAAGGCTCATAAATTGATTAAAAACCTTTAACAAATAAACCAATAATAATTTTAAATAAAATAATGATAACTATTTAGCAGAAGGCACACTGCAAAATTTAATGATTGGGGACTAAGTGACGATTAATTTTTAGTGAAAGTCTTACATTTGCTTTTTTAAATAAAATAATGTTTTTTTGCCGAGCTACGTGCAAACAGTCACTAATCTCTTTTGGTTCCGTTTTTTTGTTTTTTTGCATTTTTTTTTTGTTTTTGTTGCAGTAAGTACTTAAGTAAATAAAATAAAATTTGATTTTAAAAGTCTGAAATAAAACAAAAAAGTCGGAATTAATTCAAAAATCGGACTATGACTTAATCCAATCATGCAAAGGAAAGAAGTGGCTATTCTTCGATTTGAGAAATAGTTTAAACTACAAGAAAAGAAAGAAAACTTACTGCTTCAAGGCACTCATTGAGCCACCACCGGCGTCTGCTGTGGTACCTCCGGCGTCACCGGAGCCTCCTTAGTCTCGACGACAGCCGCCGCTTCTTGAGGCTGCTCCGAATCGCTCCTCGGCGACGTCTGATCGCTAGCGGTGGGATTGTCATTGGTCGTCGTGTTCGGACTCTGCGACTCCGAAGCGGAGCTCTTGTTCCGCACGAATTTGTTGTTCCGCCTGCGGTACGGGTAGCGTTGCGGACTGGGCTTCGGCTTGGGCTGGATGGCCTTCTTGTCGGGATCGAAGAAGCAATCGAGTATCTCGAGCAACTCCTCGAGGTCCTTGTCCTGAGCGTTCGCCACCTCGCTCTTGATCACTTTTTCTAAGCCGTCCTTAGCGTCAGATTCATAGGCAACTTTTAGTTTTTCGTAGTTGATGTTGTTTTCAGCCAGTAATCGCCGCAAATGGCTGGCGTGTTGTCTTTCGGATCGGCTGGCCCGCAGCAGAGCTCCGAACACCGGTCGGAATGTATTTTGTCTTTCTAATAATACCTGAAAACGAATAATTTGATTTAAAACCAGATTGTGGGCTCCATTAAGTAAACAGTGGATACTAAATACCAATGTCCCTTGTTAAAAGAGCAAGTTACAGAGATGGATACGAGTATAATGGATGGGTTGATGACAAAGGGGACTTGTATGTAAAAATAACGTAGAGGACTCAAAAATTGGTATTTAGATTATTTCAATATTAAAAAAATTAAAATTTTGATGATTTAATCATGGATCCCATCATCAAATCTTAAACAAATTTATATGTGACTACTGAGGTAAATTGTAGAAACTGGACGATGTGGCAATTAAGTTATTATCACTGAACATAAAAAAAAATTGACAATCTCCTCATTTTTTTGAAGAGAGTTAAAAACAATCTAAAGAAAAAACAAAGAATGTGTAAAACTTTAAGCCATTATCAAGTTGCTAATAGAGAAAAAAACAATTTACAAAACTTAAATCATACAAATTTTTACTTAGGGAACTTATTATTTTTTTTATATAGAATAGACAAAGAAATAAAATAGTAGAAGACCAACTGTCTTTTATATAAAAAAAATTGTAGTTCCACAAACTTGTAATTATGCAAATAGGCCTGTTAGTAAAATGGTAGGAGACTAACTGTCTTTTATATAAAAAAAATTTTAGTTCCACAATTATACTTGTAGTTATGCAAAGAGGCCTGTTAGGGTAAATAAATGTGGAAGTTTTCTAAATTCTTCTTTTCTACATAAAACGATCTGCATCACATAGAAATCAAGTAGCCAATTTGTAAAATATTTAGTAGTTATACAGGAAAAATAAAAATACGGATTTCTAGTGGAGTTTAAATTTAGTTACAGAACAAAATGGCATTTCAAAATGTCGATAGAATTTAAAAATTATGTCCAACTTTAAATTCATGGTTTTCTAATATAATTAAAACATTTAAAGTAAAAATGATGTCTTAATAAATAGCCAAAAGTTTATACATACAACTTTTGATCAAAATCTGTCTACATAACCAACATTTACTTGTACTGGTATTTTTTGTTAAGCAGTAATATAACATTTTGTAGAAAATGACAATTATTCCATAGCAATTAAGTACCAAAGATCACTAGGCGAAAACCAACCAAAGAAACATAGAAAGAAAAGCAGCCCCAGGTGGGAATGAAACCTGCTGCCTTTGGTATATCATATCAACATTCTATCTGCTAAATCACAGACGCTACTGTCAAAAGCAATATTGAGGAATAATTATCAAAAGAACACACAGTGTGGAAACCACTTATGGAATAAAATTATTTTTGACCTTATTTTAGAAAATTATAAAAAACGCTGGGACACGTCAACTTTTAAACAAATATACAGGGCGATTCATATAAGTCTAATACTGTCGGTAGTCTTTTTTTTAATGGAACACCCTGTATCAGTTTATATTTTTGAAAGCTCCTTAATAAGCTGACGTCAACGAACTATAATATTTGGTTTATATGAATAATACGGGGTGAAATTTTGAAAATATTATGCTTTAAATATTGTTAATTAGTAAAAGACATATATAGAATAAGTATCAACGTATTTGGGTGAATTTCAGAAATAAATATAACCTAATACGTTCATAATCATCGTTTTAGAAACATTTTTTATCTAGAAGAAGTAAAAACTACCTAGATAATGACAACAATTATTAAATAAAATCGGTAAATTTATTATCTGTTGCTTGTAAAATTGTTGGTGTTGACATTTTACACTAAAATATTAAATTTCCAATTGAAAACTTTTCGCTTGATTATTTATGAAATATTTAAATAAAACTCATTGAATTGAAATATTAATGATGATCGGTTATGGGGATAATTGCAGAAGTCAACGGAAGTGGCAAACCTACTTAATCAGAAATATCAATGGCCTAATATTTCATAAGGTACTGTGACTAAAATCCATGCACAATTCATAGAACTTGGACATTAAAAAGAAAACCGCACTTCGTAGAAAAAGTAAATATTTTATTAAGTGTTTTAAGGTGTCTCCATAAAGAAAAACTTTATGCATATACAATAACTTTTACTCAAAAGCTAACAGAAGATGATCCTGATCATAGAATGGAGTTCTGCGAAATGTTGATGAATAAGCTGGATAGAAATGAGATATATCTTAATACCATTCTTTTTTCAGATGAGTCAACTGTTACATTAAACGGGGAGGTAAACCGACAATACCGTAGATGTTGTTCAACGGAGAATCCTCATTGGATGCTCAATATTGTTAAAAAAATTAACGTGACCATATTATTGGTCCGATTTTTATAGAAGAAAATGTGACAGCCCAAATGGAGATTATTATTATTATGCGCTAGTTCAGTGTGATGTCATTTTGGTTCCACTGACATTTAATTCTAACCAAACTTTTAACAAAAACATCAATAAATTTAACATATACGTTTTTACGGTTTTTATTTTATTTCAAAATATTCAAGTCATAAAAAATAGTTTAAAGGTATGTAATTGGTAACTAAACGATTGTATATTTGATACATGCTATCTAATTACTTTGGAAATATATAAAAATAAAAAAAAAAACGATATAATTTAGGTAAACAAAACGAACTCAAAAAATCTACTGTCACTTTGTCAGTGGAACCATCATAATTACATCATCACTGAACTAGCGCATTATGATTATTATTATAATAAAGATATTTAAATATGATTAGAGACGACAATGATCCTGTTCTGGCTAACATATCCAAATACAAGAAATTGGAGACTGCCGAATGAAAATGTTTGGTTTTAAAAGGATGGGACAACACCCCATTATGCTGCACATGAGCTTACCTAAATCAAATATTTCCCAATACGTGGATTGGATGAAGAGATACTATTGAGTGGCCAACTAGATCACCAGATCCTACGCTATTGGCTTTTTTCTGTGGGGTTATCTCAAGAATAAAGTATATGCAACACAGCCAACTAGCAATGCAGATCTCTGAGAAAGGAAATAAGGAATATTTCACCTCAAACTTTAAATAATGTTAGGCAGGAGTTTTATAACAAATTCGGTTATTGCCAAGAATTAGGTGAAGAACATTTTGAGCATTTACTTTAATCAAATAAATCAAGTATTTTATGTATTAATTTTCATAAAGGAAATGATAAATAATTTCAAAATTTCACTCATATAGACCATATATATTATCGTTCGTTGAAGTCAGCTCATTAACGAGCTTTCAAATACATAAAATTATAGAGGGTGTTCCATAAAAAAAAAAGTGCTAGACTTACGTGGATCACATTGTATATTTATATTTTTGTTCGAAGAACGTACAATTTAGTTTAAAAGTTGAAAGGTCCCAGCGTACACCATTACATAATGGAAGGATATATTTTTAAATACCGCACCATGTATACTTTTTTAGTTTTTCATACTCTTATTAAATTTAAAATACAGTTACAACCATATAGTACTAATTTTATTAGTTTCTATGAAATATTTCTAATTGACTTCTCTTTTTGTTAACATATTAGAAATCAAAATGTTTGCAAGTTATGTTGCTTTTGTATAATGTAGTTGAATCAAAAGTAAGAAAAAATAAATTCGATATTGACTTTTGGGAAAAATTCTATAAACACTGCACTTTTTGACATAATATTCAGATGAAAGGTGAAGTGTGAAATTAATAATAAAAATGCTCTTCCTTTCATCCCATGTTGGTAACTGTATAGTATCAGAATATTATGTAAAAAAAGTGCTGAATTTAACAGATTTAATCCATTTTTGAAATTTTTTCAAAAATCAATACTATCGAATTTATTTTTGATTCTCACTGTATGCCAGTTTTAACTATTTTCCAGATACCTAGCCCATGATATTAATTAGTTATCATTAGATCAATTAATTACGGATTAGAAGCCTCAAAAACAAAAAATAACTAAAACTCGTATAAATAAAAAAAAATAAAAAAATATGAGAAAAATTATTATTCAATAAGTAAAAATTATTAATTTATAAGCCTTAAACCTTCAAAAATCCACAAAAAAATAACAATAGCAAAGAAAATATAAAAATCCGCCAGAACAATTAAAATAATATTAAATTTTATATAAAATCTGCTGAAAACAAAAATTAAAATGTCCCAAAATTATGAAAAACCTTTGAATTACAGAAAATTATTCTCAATAATCAAATTTGTTGGAAGAAAATTCCTAGACATTTCCAGAAAATTCCTAATTTTAAATAAAAATGAAAAAAATTACTTATTTAAAATTTTATAAGCATCGTTTTTTACATTTTTAAAAATATTTTTTTGAAAGTACGCCCTCTCAAAAATCATTGTATAACATTTTACGTGAACAAAAATTAAAGTATACCAAAATTGTGCGAAAACTTGAAAACCTTTGAATGATAGAAAATCATTTTTCAATAAACAAAGTTGGAATAAAATTCCTGTACATTTCCTGAATACAGGCCTGATGAGAGGGAGGGACAGGGGGCAAAATCTACTTTGAAGATACTTAACCCCGATATTAAATAGATTTAGTAGAGATCAATCAAAAATTACTGATTAGAAATCTCAAAAAAAAAACTACATACAGAAATGAAAACAACAACTAAAATTCAATAAATTATTATAAAAAAATCTAAAATGTATGAAAAAAAAAAAAAAAAAAACTCGAAACCCACCAAAATTGGGGAATAATATAAAAGATGTGAATTTATTCAATTAAATCTAAAAAAGCATAAGTTAGTTTCCGTTACCGTATAGTTTTGTGAATTAGGTTTTTCTTCTGTCTATAGGTAGTGCATATATTTAGTAAAACGTCTTGTAATATTATAATATAATTGTACCTGTGTCAATGGCCTCTGATGCCGAGACACGTTAATTTCAATAATAATAATAATAATAATAATAACAACTTTAAATTCCTTCAAAAATTGGCAAAAAAATCAACAATAGTAAATATAACATAAAAATTCTACAATATATACTTAAAAAAAAAACCTGGAAAATTAATAAACCTTTTATAAGCATCGTTTTTTAGAAATATTTTTGAAAAATCATTGTAAAACATTATTTTATTCAGCAGTAATCTGTTTTGTATTAAAATTTTTATGATGAACATTTTGAATTCCCAATAATGTGTACCACCCACAACAAGCTTGTCTACAATAAACAAACAAAACTGTTATCAATTGTATGTATTATCAAATATTTACCAACATACACCCAAAAAAATCGATTTTCTTTTATTTATTATTTTCGCCAACAATAATTACAACAACACCTATAATAAAATTAATGCAAAGCTGATTAGTACTGATAAGAAGAAATGTTTCAATTTCAGAGATAATTTCACAAAAGGTCACCTTGAAATTTTGTAAATATATTCCCAATTATTTGATATACAAATTTTAAATAAAAATAACCGGTAGGTAATTTAAGTCAAATATATTTTATTCAATTATGTCTGCTTACCAGCAAAACACACTCAGATTTTATGAAAAATCCATTAAGGAGGTCCTTTCGCCACACCTCTCGCCTCAAATGTTAAAAAAAAAGTTATTAGATTATGACTAAAATTAATTTTTTTCTAATAGTTGAAGTCCTTATTTATCTAATACTGAACTTTTAACTATACCTTACCTTGCAAATTTTTGAGAATTTTTTTTTAAATGTGAGTATTTGTACAGTGCCTCACAAGAAAGTAAGTCCTCAACAACAATTCTCGAATTATACTATTATTTATTGATTAGATGGAGTAGAAAAAAACTAAAAATAAGGTTTTTGAAATATTTAGATTTTGTTTTATACAATAAAATATATATAGTAAACCGTGGAACTTATTGAGAAATGAATATTAAAAATCACAAAAAATTTTGAAGTAACCTAGTTGAAATTTTTTTTGTGATTTTTTAATAATAATTTCTCAATAAATTCCACGGTAACCTATATATTTTATTGTAAAACACAAAACCTAAATATTTCAAAAACCTTATTTTTAGTTTTTTTCTACTCCATCTAATCAATAAATAATAGTAAAATTAATTATAATTCGAAAATTGTTGTTGAAGTCTTACTTTCTCATAAGACACTGTACAAACACATTTTTAAAAAAAAATTCTCAAAAATTTGCATGGTAAGGTATAGTTAAAAGTTCACTATTAGATAAATAAGGACATCTACTATTAGAAAAAAATTAATTTTAGTCATAATCTAATAATTTTTATTTAACATTGGTGGCGAAAGGACCTCCTTAAGTCACTTAAATGTATTATGGACTTAAGGAATATGAAAATAATTTAATAATAAGGTTATAATTGTTAGAGAACATAGTGAATTTTACCAGTTTATAAAGTGGAAGAAATCCAGTCAACTGATCTGAATAAGTCAAAAATATAAAAAATTGACTTAGTGTTTTGCTTGTAAACCAACAATAAATACTATTTTTCTAATATTTACAATTCTATGATACTGATTTTTGTGCTAAAATGATAATTCCACAGGGCTCCGTTTTAGACCCAGTGCTTTTTATTCTAACAATGTATGCTGATGACACATCGTTAAGTGCATCTAATAAAAAATTGAACTAAGTTCAAATAAAATTATAAAAACATTCTAAATAAGCTAAATAAGTTAAATTAATAAATTGATGGAACCTTAATAATTGATTCCAAAAGAAAGAAGATAAAACGTAATTTTTGCATTATGTTTATTTTTACCATCTCACATTTTATAATATTATTTGACACCTGTAAACACATCCGTGATCAAAACAAAAATAACTCAACATTAAATGTACAAATACATCCAAACTAACCTTAAAAACGGCCACTTCATCTTCCTCGGCATCGATCGGATTGACATAAGGACAAACAACGTCTATCAAATTAGACTCGTTGCCTGCATACTCCTTGGTAGCTTCCTCGCCCTCCAAATCCGTCCTTTCTCCTTGGGCCAAATGGGCGGCAATGTCAAAGGAGGCACGAGCGCGGTCTACGGCGCTGTTAAAGTGCTCCGCACCTCTGTTTAGTAGCACCTTGGACATCACGTGCAAGTTGAACGATTTGGTGGTGTTGGCACACTTTGCCTGCGCTATATTGAAGCCGTTGGCGAAGCCTTTTACTACTTTCGAGAACCTGCAAGGAAATTGGAAACCTCTCAATCAAATTCGGCAAAAAGTCTTTTAAAACTCTAGGAGGGAGCATTCTATTTACTTTATTTTTCCTTTTTCATAACTTTTCCCAGAATATGCACCACAAAATTCTGGGCTCAACATATAATGTTGGCCTTCTACTCCTAGTAACATAATATACTATTATTTTAAGTTCATTTTTGATTTAGTTAACATAATATCGCACCTATAATAAAGAAGAGTTATAACTTGAAAAAAGTAAATTACTAAATGTCATACTAATTGAGAACACTGAAGAGCAAACTGGTCTCAGTGCTAACCGAGAATACCGATCAAGGAGAAGCGACAGTAGCTGTCGGTGCCTTTGATATCGGATGTACCCTTTTCACAGCATGACTTTGATTGATACACAACTTAGCACGCTGAGAAAACATGCTTATTTTCTACACTGAGCGAAATAGTTTGGCAAACTATCTGAAATCATTGTTATAGTCCATGCGCAAATGTTGCAATGTGATTTAATTACATTGAAGTAGTTAGGGTTAATAGCAATGCTGAAATTTCGGCACCAAAATATAATTCATTATGTAATAATTAATTGTTATAAAAGTAAAAGACGTTTATTATTTTATAATTTATCTATAAAATTTGTTCAATATTTGGTTTATTTATTGTTAAAAATGTAATAAAAGCCCCATATTTAAATTAAATTACCTTTTCCTTAACTAAAAATAAGGTAAATAAAATTAAGAGTGCCAAAAAAAATTTAGGTAACAATTAAAAAGACATTAAGTTTGAGAGGTTTAACTAAATATTTGCAATGTGCATATATTTTCAAAGCTTTTAAGTTTAAAAAGTACATATTTTTAGAATTTCTAGATTTATATTATATTAAAAGGACTTTCAAGTTTATCACTCATTTCTGTAGAAACAAGTGTTTTCTCGCCAAGTTAAACCAGATGTCATTTAAGGTTTATGTATTTAGAGTTAAATACCTGGCCTGGCTATCACCCAGACAATACAAATAAGTCCATTGGACGTCCATTCAATATACAATTTTGGATGTATAGAAGTCCAAAAATGAGTTTTCTAGACTTCCCGACATCCAATGGACGTCCAGTGAAGTATACAAATAGCACACTTTTGACCATTCAGAGGACATCCAATTCTGGAATATATTTGGACGTCAAATACTGGACATTCAAAAAACGTCCAGGATTATATTTCCATTGAGACCACATCCCCACTTTTTTACAGAACCGCAACTCACCACACACTATTTTATATTATTAATAATTTGTTTATTATTTTCGCAAACCTTTATACACCATTTATTTATTTTTTATTAAAAATCGCTTGACCTGAGCAGGTTTCGAACTCACGACACATCCATTATCGTTTTACGCTTTCAATCGCTAGACTAGCTCGACCAAGGAACCACTTGAAAACTGTTTACTAGATACAGTTATAATTGAATAAGATTTCAAACTTCCGCTGATAGAATGAAATGCAATAGATTCAATTTGTCAACTTTTAATGACCAGTTATATTAAAAAAAAGAAGTATATATAGATGGGTATTATCTGGTAGGCTTAATAAATAATGACCCAAGATGGACGTCCACTGAACTAAACTTAAAATTAAGTCCAAAAACAGACTCTCTGGGTATCGATATTCAGCTGTCAATTTAATTAGCATAAACGGACGTACACTGGATGCCAGGATATGGACGTCCTGACCCTCAAATAGATCTAAAGTGGACGTCCATTGGACTATGTGTGCATAGACGAATTTTTAGAAATAGTACTTATTTAAGTATGCACCAATATTTCCAAAATCAACTCCAGTATGATTCATTCAATAAATGTAAATATGAATGGGCAAAACATCTTTATATTGACATAATTGTAACTTACAATTTAGCCATAATAAAGGGATTTCGTCCACTTTGACCAATCCTAATTGAAACACGCGAATTTATTATATTTTTTTAAATATAATTTCAAAATAAAATAAACAAAACCTGCAGTTCATTGTTTATTAAATTAATTTAAAAGAAGAAAAACATATATATCACAAAATACAATACCTACATATGAAAAATGAAATGTCAAAAATGATTGAATCATTATACTTAATATTTATGCATGTGATAAAAATCTAGTTTCTTAATAACTTTTTGGCACATTTTATATCTGTATTAGAATAGAAGTGTGTAAAAATCTTCATATTACTACACAAAACAAACACCAAAAAATATCACTTAACATTGCTCACGTACTAAACACAACTTGGACTGACTTTGACAGATAACATAATTTTGAGTGATACACAACTTATTTTCGCACATGCGCGTTACAAAACGGTACACTGAAAACACCAAGCTGTCGCTTCTCCCTGTTCGGTATTCTCGGGTGCTAAAGCGTGACATCCGCCATCTAGTGGCGAATATGTGGAGTAACAGATATGACTGTTTGAGATTATGCACCAGTTAATTTTGAGCATTTGTGCCTATTTAACTCAAAACTCAAGTTTTTTCAAGTCATAACTCTATTTGATCGGATGTGCGATATTATGTAGTGCAGTGAATTACTAATAAAATTAGCTTTTAAATGAAGTGTCACACTCTACAATACGTAACAGTTTATCCCGCTAGAGGGCGTTAAAATGAAAAGTAACACAATGAACATAAAATTACATTTTCAGTGATGTCATATTTAAATTGTATTGGTTAAATTGGTGGAGGGAAGAGGAATAACATATGACAGGATACTATAGGAAGGTGACCCCACGGGGGTTTATAGCATATGCGCATTTTGTCAACAAGTTACTGCGCATCGAAACTGGCGTACGTCCGTTTTACAATAACACAATTATATTTAAAATATAAAGAAAACAGAATAATTACAAAATATCTCAATAAAAATGTGTTATTAACTTGCCAAAAGTAATAGTTTCACATTTTTTTAATTTATCAATCGTAAAATTGAAAAAATATGAATTTATTCAATTATTTGTACAATGTAAACCTGGCTTTGGATAACAAAACCCAAATCTCGTTAAAGCTCGAGTCGACTCGATAAACGAAACCCGAATGCCGAATGATACAAAATACAATATGGCTGTCGATGTAAACAATTCTGAGTTTTACTTTTATTTAATACAGTTTTATGCATAAATTTAGTAATAATTTACTGTAAGTAAACTTATTTTGATACTTTTGCATGTCTATGTCCTATAAATGCATATATTTGATTGTAATAGTAAATTGTTCTGGCCCATTTACACTGTTTTAGAAGAAACATTTTCATTTTATTGTCAACTGAAAAAAGGATTATTATTCGTATTCGTAATTGTATTATCCCCAAATATTGAAATGAAAGTTTTAATTCTGATATTCATTTTGATAATTATCCTAGATATGCCAATTTAATTGTATGTATTATAACCAAACTTTTTAATCTTTATAAATCTAAAGTATTTTCATTACATAAAGCAAGAAAATCTTAATTAGACGTTATAGAAATTAGAAGTAGTAAATTAAAAATTAGTTAAATCGCTGCAAATGCAAAAGTAATTAGTCACATACAATCAAAATTATGTGCTTTAGGAAGTTTTTCGCTTTCAACAATTGTTTTTTTTTCTTTTCAGGATTTATGGATGGAACTCTTGTTTTATTTCGCACGATTAAAGAAAAATTTTGTTCGTTTTGTGTTATTTAAAATAGTTGTTTATTCAGAAAATATATATTATGTTTATTGTTGTAACCAATAAAGATTCAACAAATAATATTTAGTTATAATACAATTTTGTATTACCTATTTATTTTTTACCTCTAAAATTATTTAACATAAAATTTTACATTTTTATTAGCATTTTTTGACACGCCTGAGATGCGTGTTAAAAAAATGCTATTAAAAATGTAAAATTCTTATATTTTGTCGAAGTAAATTCAAAAGCCCGCCAATTTTCAAATTAAAATAGCATTACAGCTTTTTATATTACCGACTGAGTATTAGTTGCACAAAACTATCCCACATGTCGCTGAAGGCAAACATGTTGCCATATTTATACAAAGAAACGGCAACTCTTAATTATCCTTCCTCCATGGGTGACCCCTTTGAAATAAAAATTGACCTTTTTTGTGTTTAAAAAAAAATCTACTTCAAGATATTCTGAAATACGGCCGTTCACTACCATTAATGAATGTGAATGTATATGAAAGCACAAGAAATCCTCTAACTTCAAAAAGAACAGAAAATTTAATTTTGTTGCATTTTAAAGTACCAAAACTTGTTTTTATAACAATATTTTTGTCTTAGATTTTAAATGTATTTTTTTTTTAATCTTAGTAGTTAAAATATTTATATTTTTTGTCTATATTATTATACCCTTTTTACACTGAAAGTTTTTTTACCTACACCTGTACTGAGATCTATATTCTGTCATTGTGAACCCCCAATATTTTGATCACTGTGAGAAACCATATAACTGATCAAATTTTTAAGACAGCTCAATATTCACCTGCTTTTTATGAAAAAATAAGTGACAATGGTATTTATTATACTTTTCATGCTACTTTTTTTTAATAATTTTGAAATAATTTCTACAAAGAAGAAAAGATGGTTCTTGTAATGATTTTTAGAAACAATCCAAGTAATAGAAATTAAATCAGAATCATTGCAAAAATGAGTTAGAAAATGCATTGGGCATTTTTTTAATAAGATGCAAATAATGTTAACATTAATTATGAACAAGAAATAATAAATAGGTAAATTAGTATTTTAGCTCAATTATCAAGAGGAGAGACCATAAAACTGATCAAATTTTTAAGACAGTACAATATTCACCAATGTAAAAGTTTTTCTATGCCTTATACAGGGTTGACAGGCACAGGTTTGTCTGCATCTAGGTTTTAGGTTAAAAAAAAAAAACCTAAAAATGAATATTCTGAAATTTTAGGTTTATTAAAATATTATGAATTTACAATTTTATTGTCTTGCATCTGTAAGTCCACCATATTTGCAGATCTGCAAAGTTGCCGCCATATTTGCAATCTGCAAAGTTGCCGCCATATTTGCAGATCTGCAAAGTTGCAGACGTTCTGTAATCTCACCCTAAGTCATACTAATTAATTGTTTAAGGTTTACTTAACCGGTCTATACTAGCTAACCTGGGTAAGACCAGGGATGGAAAAAACCTAAGAATTAAAAAAAAATAAGTAGGTTTTTAGGTTATTTAGGTTTTTTTAAAGGTTTTATAAGGTTTTTTAAGGTTTTTAGTTCATAATATGTCAAAAATTATTGTCACTATCATTAATATCAATATCAAGAAGTAATTATAACCTGTGATGTATAATGTTTGCATGTTTTTATACAGGGTGGCTCACGCTCAACGGGACGGAGCTTTATGGGAAAACGACCAAAGATATAAAAAATTCGTTTGGGAGGAATACGTAGGTTACAGACGGCTACAATTTAAAATTTGTTAGATGTATACAGGATGTCCCACATAAGAGAAAATATACAAAGTTATATTATTTTTAATGGAACACCCCTGTTTTTTATTTTAGAATTAAAAACTACATCAAAAATAATGTCAGTTAACTAAAGGTTCCCTATTACTATTATTATTAGTTTTCGGTTTATTTGAATTTTTAAGGAAAAAAAGTCTCCCAGAAATTAATTGTTTCCTCTTGTTTGAATAATTTTTAATGAACTAATTTTTTTTTCTTATGTGGGACATCCTGTATACATCTAACAAATTTTAAATTGTAGCCGTCTGTAACCTACGTATTCCTCCCAAACGAATTTTTTATATCTTTGGTCGTTTTCCCATAAAACTCCGTCCCGTTGAGCGTGAGCCACCCTGTATACACTCATTTTTGCACCCTTTCTTCTAAGAGTTGATTAGTAAAATTGTGAATTCTTAATATTTATCTTAAAAAACCTAAATTGTAGATTTTTGACTACTATTAGGTTTTTAAAAAAACCTAAAAAGCCTAGGTGCAAAAGAACCTGTATCTGCCAACCCTGGGTATGACAGAGATACAAAGAGACATCGCCAACTGTTTCAGTACTGTTTATTTCGGGCAACACTGTATACTTAGTATTACATTTTACACTCTGGAATAGGCACAATTAAAATTTTATCAATGAAAATTATAATAAAATTTAAAAATAGGTATTCTTTTAAATTAAAGCCAGGTTACGTTCGACTTTAGGGACACACTGTTTGACCAGTTTTACTTTATTTTTTGAATTAAATGATATTAAGTATGATTTTAACTCACCTTAGGTTTGGAAATACGAAAAAAGTATAAATCAATTATATATTTTAATTAAATACTTTTTGAAAACAAGAAAACGAGTCTTTCATTAAATTTAACCTAAAACTTGAAAATTTTAATATTTGACATTTCTTTTCTGGATAATGAGCAGGGTTGCCAAGATTAATTTATTATTTGTTACTATTTAGGCCATTACCCGCAATATTTAAAATACTAAGTAATCTGGGTATTAACAGTATGACCGAGTAGCAGAGAATTTAGAGTGATTTTATGTTGAATGAGTCAAATAAAATGATTTTGTAACATTGTATTTCTAGAAATTACTCAAAAATGTCATGTGAAATGTCAGTAAGTTATAAAAACTTACAAAGGATTGCCCTTTAATTTTATAAATAATTGTATAAGCTGATATGAACAGATAGGTATTATTCTTTAATCTGTGTTAGGGGCCAGGGAGCGATGTTTGATACAGATTCTGGTATTTTATCACAAAATTCTATTATTTTTATTTAAATAAACAAATCATAAAAGTTATAATTTGCGAGTTTGCAAATTAATTATATCTTCTTACATATTAAAATACTTGGCAACCCTGTACATATAAGTCAAAATTTTATTATTAAATTTCTCCCTTAATCGTGGATAATCTCTATTTTTTTGGAAATTTTCATGATATATGAGAAGTTATAATTCTAATAGTACAAAAATTATTTTGAAATTCGTGTCTTGTAAGTCGAATGTAACCTAAAGCCCTTTAAATCATGTAAACAAGACAAGAAAACAAAAAGTTCAAGTAGTATTTACACTTTCCTTACAATATGCAATTTCCTTATCTTTATCACTATTATTTTGACCTTCACATAATATTTTAAATGAATTTATGTAAAAGCTATTTTAAGGAAACATAAATAAAATTTTAATTCAAGATAAATTAATTTTTGTTTTGTAAAAATTCAATACTTATTGTACCCAGATAAATACATTCAATAAATGTTATTGAAAAGCAACTATAAAACTGCTGTCGGATACAGATAAGATTTTTTTAATATAAATAAAGCAACTTTTTTTGCAATAAAAACATGGTTAACAAGGCAGAAAAAAATTATAATTTTTACCTTTCAATCATATGATATCTTCTTAGCGATTCCAGAAGCATTCCAGGAGAAGCCTTGCGGAGTTCGTAGTAAATCAGAATGATCCCGTCAACTCCATCACCTTTGATGGTTTCCAACCATTGCAAAAAGTCCTGAAGAGCAGAGACCTCGCTCTTTGTCTTCACGTATTCCTGCGTGTTCATATCCCTTAGACGTCTGTAGCGTATGGTGTTGACCACCCTGATTCCATGTCTCCTACTGTATGTGGGGTTCAAATCCCCGAAGGGCATGATATACTGAGAAAATTTGGAATCCGGTGTGTAGGCTGCGATCTGGATGATCTCGTCAATAAGCCGGCGACCGGTGGTGTCGATACCCCATCCCACGAGACGGTACTTTCCCGTCGGAATCCCTTTAGCCGGATTTTCAGGTATAATAATTGGTACCGAACTCTCGTCACCGGAGTTTGAACTGTCGTTTTGTACCATCCTAACTTATTATCTGTAAAGAAGCGTTAAATTATCAACCACAAGAACAAACAACCCCGGTATTTGTCAAAAATTAACAAACATCAAACACGTGGCGTTGAATTTACTAAATCCAATGATGCCCCACCCTATTGCCGGAATCTCAATAAAACAAAATTTCCTAAATACAATCAGTTATCTTACCACAATATCAAATTCTTCAGACTATCCGATAAGTAAAAAAGACTAGAAAATAAATACACTTGAGTTGTGTACTCTTATACTGGATCTCTTCAATTATAAAATGAATAATGAAATTAATAAATTAGATTTACGTACGAACTGAAAAATGCATTTCGCACGTGTGGTTAGGCATGTAGGAGGGGAATATGCGTGAGCAGGCGGAAATCACGTCACGAAATTGCGCTGAAATTTAAATTACTATATATTTTTAATACTTACATGTGAAAATATAAACAAAATTTGAAGAAAAATAGATATTAAAAAAATATGTACGATGACAGTTTTTCGACACAAAACAATATAAGAATACAAATAACAGAAACGATCAATGCAAACTAGATGCAAATTATTTTTAATAAAACCAAGGTGAATTCCGTGCAAATCTGGCAACGACGCTTGCGTTTTCTATTCAAATCCGGTGTAAGTTACACGACGCCCGCGACGGTGTTCACAAGGTGTTCACGGAACACGGTGTTCATTTATTTATGCTGCGTTTGAGAAACCACATCGGATGCATCTGAGATGTAAAAAATCTTTGATCACGTGATTCAGTATACGTAAATGTAATGGGACAGATGTGTCCGATGTGGATAAAAAAACGCTCGAGATGTAAAAAATGCATCCGATGTGGATTCTCAAACGCAGCATTTATTTCATCAAGTCACAACAATTCTGTGGCCGGCGCTTAAAAGGCCATAAGTCGTTTTTTACGTAAATGGAGTTTTTAGTCAAGATACGTTTAGAAGAGTGTATATTTTAGGCAGCTAAAAGGATTCAAGTCTATATACGTTGTAAAGTAATAAAAATAAGGTACAAAAAAACATAATATACAACGGTAACCGCGGAAGACAAAACGTCATAATTAAACATAAACAGTCAAATTTTATAAATATTTATATATATTTATATTATATATTATATTTTAGTTTTTCTATGCATAAAACAGTTAAAACAAAGTATATCTACATATTTTTTAATTTTTATAGGACCAAATCTCTAAAAAGATCGTCGATTTGAATTCTAAAAATCCTTATTGATGTGTCCCAAAATTTTCCAGCGCCATTCTCCAAAAATGTGTAATACACAGTGTAATATTGACTTATTACCTTTTAAGCGCCGACCACAGAATTGCTTCGTTTGAATATCCACATCCGATGAATTTTTTTTCATCTCGAGCGTTTGTTTATCCACATCAGACACATCTGTCCACCTAATCTATGCATCTGCCCACCTAATCTATGCATCTGCCCTACTACCACATACTTTGATTACTATTCGTGGTGAGTTCGGTCTACGCACTCTTTTCACTATATTCACTCCTAAAGTTCCTAAGGCGTTCGGGTACGGAAGGAGTTAAAATAAAAGTTCCTCTTTGACCGTTCGGAGATGGTGGAGTGGAGTGTGGATCGGGCATGCGCATAAGGTGATTTAAATTGATAATAAGTTATTTGTGAGTGATTCTTTAGTAAATAAATTTTTTTTTTGGTTCCCGCGTGAATATCATTAATATGGAAGAAACTTATACGGTCGTTACTGACAAGTACGATTAAATTTTAAGTACTGGTATGTCACATTGACAATTGACATTGCACTCCGAGAGTTAAAGGAGTAAAATCATATTCGCACTCCGTTTACGCCTAATTACTACACTCCACTCTGGAGTGCGCAGCCCGAACTCACCTACGGTGCAAGAGAAGCAGAGGTCCGACCCAATGAACTGGAGGGGGGTAGAATGCCAATGTACATGTTGTACTATTAGAACAAGGTGCGACTCGATGGGCGCAGCCATTTTTATTGTTCATCTCACTCGGGACTATTTATAATAACCATTTTCTGTTTCACATTGTTATTGTCTGATCCACAAGCTGGTGGATCAGACAATAACAATGTGAAATAGAAACTGGCTATTTTAAATACTCCCGAGTGAGATAAAAAATAACCTATCTTCGCCCATAGAGTCGCACATCAAGTCTATTGACAAGCATTCTACCCCACTCTAGTTCATTGGTCCGACCACATACTTTGATTTTCTTTTACTATACGAAGAATGGTCGCACTGTGCAGCTTTCTGAGTGCCTTTTAAAAGGAGATAGAAAACCCCGCCATTTTGATCCCTTATTACGTGTTGCCTACATCTTGGCGCACTATTTTTAATAGGTGCGTTTTAATCATCCGCTTCTGCTTCGGAATTATCGGTTTTCTTGTTTTAATCTGGCAGGTTAAAACGACTAAACCACATACTTTAGGTGTCTTTTCCTTTGCATCGAAAGTGTAGCACTGAGCTACACCACTTCTGAAAATATCGTTCCATTTATACAAATTGTATGGATGGAACGATATATTCAGAAGTGACGTAGCTCAGTGCTACACTCATTGCGTTCGGTCTGCCAAGTTCCTTTAACTCCTTTAACACTTTTAACTCCAAACGACCCTTTTACCGTTAGGTTTAGTCCGATTAGTGACAGTTTAACACGCTTAAATGTCATTTAAAAGCACCCTAAAATTTGTCCCGCTCCAGCCCCTGACTGACCGAACTCGCCTACTGTCATTGCGTTCGGTCTGCCAAGTTCCTTTAACTCCTTTAACACTTTTAACTCCAAACGACCCTTTTACCGTTAGGTTTAGTCCGATTAGTGACAGTTTAACACGCTTAAATGTCATTTAAAAGCACCCTAAAATTTGTCCCGCTCCAGCCCCTGACTGACCGAACTCGCCTTGTGGATGCAAAGGAAAAGACCTTTTGATTACTATACGGGGCAAGAGAGAGGTCCGACACGCCCAACATAGGACGCGGCCATTTTGAACCCTATGACACAGTTTATAGCTAAAGAATCAGATCGCTCACTCTGCGTCGGCACTTTTGACGTCAATGTTCCAGTTTATACACTGCGCAACTCGGATAATACAATATATGACAACCGCCTATAATAAAACAGCAGTCTTCTGCGTATCCTGGATTTGTATCCCTGGGGTAGTATTCTCGAGTCACGAATATAGATTCGCATGCGAGATGTATGATTTGTCTCACTTGGTTTTCGTTCAACAAAGTGAGACACATTGTAAAACACGTACGCGAATGTCGGTATTCGTGATTCGAGAATACTACCCCTGGAGTGGATGTTATTTTGGAACTTTCAACTGGTCCGAGTGAGCTAACTGATTCTTTAGCAATAAAATGTGACTCTAAAAATAATATTCACTGACACTGACAGCAGTAAGCAAAATATCAGGTGCGTTTTAATCATCCGCTTCTGCTTTCGGAATTGTCGGTTTAAGGCATTTCTTTATAAGCTTACCAGAACATACTTCTGTAACCAGAGCATTTCTTTATAACGTTTGGTTACTCGGCTTTGGTTACAGGTTACCAAAGCATATGTAGCTATACCTAACGAGGCATTTATTTATAACCTTACTAGAACATACTATAATAAAAAATAACAAAGTCAAAACATCCTAAAATTTCTAAAATTCTAATTCCGCTTAGAAATCCCCAAACTTAAATTAAATTTGACATATGACATTCAATAATAGGGAAACCATGGTATGCGTAATGTCACCACAGTAACCACAATACTGTAACCAAGTATGTTGTAGTAAGCTTATAAAGAAATGCCTTTAGTCGTTTTAACCTGTCAGATTAAAACAAGAAAACCGACAATTCCGAAGCAGAAGCGGATGATTAAGGGTCGGTTTTTCAATGTCCAGTCAAAGTGGCTGTTACGTAGCCGACAGCTATATTTAGCTGGCACGCAGCGTTGCCAGCGCTATTACGTTCGTAACATATCTATTACTAAAGGCAATTATTTATTACGCTATTACGCCGCTCAGCAATCTATTACGTTTTTGCTATATGCCTCTAATTAAAAAAATCTCAAAAAATGGATTCAAATTAACCAAAGAAGCAAAAATTTGTACCCCTGTACGTGCTATACTGGTTTTGCAGCTTGCAACCTCACTTTTAAAAATTTGACGTTTTTGTATTTGTTTATTTGATGTGTAATGTGTATTATGATCAAAGAAGTAGAGAGGGTAGAACGATAAGGTCACAATATATCCCCTATAGTAGTGCATCTCACTTGTTAAAGAGTTGGCACTAAGTTTGCAGCGCAAGAATGCGTCTGTGTCTGGCCGCTCAACTAACTCGATATGGCGGTAAATTCAAATATAATTTAAAGGCGAAATTTAAATTTCCCGCCAAAATTGTAAATTTTCAGCCGCGGAATGGCGGGAATTTTTAAATATATTCATTCGGCAATAATTATTGAGAAGTATATTGCATGTTCGATTAAACGAGCTGTAAATCCAGGCGCTATTTTTATTTTGATAGCTAAAAATAATACTAATTCATTTATTATTAGCTATTACAATAAGAGCAGCATTTGGATTAACAACACATTTAAAAGAACATGTAATATACTTTTCAATTTTACCTAAATCACTTATTTTTTACCTATAGAGGTTAGATCTGAAAAAAAATTGGCTCTGGTAAAAAAACAAAAAATTGTATAAAGTATTTTATTTGAAAAATTATAAAACTTATTTAATATATTTTAAAGACGAAGATAACTCTAGCCATATCCATTTTACTGAAAAAAAAAAAAGAAACTATTAAATGAAATCATTTAGTTATTAAGAGATGTTTGTGATAATACAGTGGCAGCTATCGAATGTTGTACAATACGTTTTGCTAATGTCCAAGTAAAAACTACAAAGAGTTAGCAATAGTGGGAGAAGGAATATAATACTATGAACGTAGCCAACCGGCTACGTGGGGATGCATCACACCGTGTGCCTGTTCATATTACACAGCACACAAGGCAACATTCATATTATTCGTTTCCTGATCGAACTAATGCACTAACTCTTTAGTTTTATTTTCGATTCTAGCCAAGCGTATTGGAAAGTGTTCATTAGCCGATACTGTATATAAATGCTAACATCAATAAGTGAAATAAAAAAAATTAGTTTAAATGGACATCTACTTCGAAAAAAGTAAATTATTATACTTGAATTTTAAAGGCTGTTGCCACTGGAAAACTATTATCTAGGGCTTGGATGACAGCCATAGGACTCCCTCCTTGAATCGTGTCCATAGGAAAGCATAAGATCATAGTTAAAT